TAACGGGTTTTTCTCTAATGCCACAAACCAATTCTTGCACAAAGGGATGAAATAATTTTTAAATAATTTATTCAGGGCTATTTTCCAACTTCTCAAGCAGACATAACTCAAAGTATAATTTATTAATGAAATAAGTGTAGTCTTTAGCAGGCCTATTTTCAGACAAAAACACCATCAGGCCTTGACACAGACGTCTGTGGCATTTAAACCTTAATACTGCAGATGAGATTAAACCAGTCTGGAACACATGTGCGCGCACACACATAATGACTGAGAAATCGACGTGTAAAAACATCCCAAGCATGGTGACAAAAACCTAGTAAACACCAACAGAACCAGTACAACTTGTGCCATGGCATATTTTTCTTTCACTGTTACTGTTGGTAATACTGCTGCTTTCTCTAGTAATACTCTAAAATACTGTTTGTCCACTGCTTCCTTCTCTAAGGGATGCAGTGAGAACATTTTTAGGCTGGGGTGTAACCGATTAGTTCTATTCACGGAAGCCTTGCACTGGAAGAAATTGTTTTAGCTTTCATTGTATTAGGGCAGAGGAGCAGTGTTCACAACATGTATACATCTCTGCCTTCCTGTTTGGCACAAAGAGCCTAGAGCCCTAGGACAGAGAGAGCTAGAGAGAGAGAGAGAGAGAGAGAGAGAACCTGCATGGATTGCTAAGGAAGAAATGGGTGTGTGGCAACTCTGACAAGGCTTAAGTCCCTGACATCCTGCTTGATTAGCACTAAAGTGACCTAAAGCCTCACTGCTGATAAGAAACTCAGTGGCCAAGCACTGGTCAAACCAGGGCCTGTTCTACTGCAGACTGATCCAAATTGTGTCACATTAGCAGTCTGTGGAAAAGATTCCCAGAGGACATGGAGGACCTCATGTTCTGCAAGGTACCTGGGGTTCCCCTCCCCATCTCACTGCTCTACAGCGACATCTACTGTCAACTGGGCACATAGGCACCCCTGCGGCAGAACAGAACCAGTGACACGCCTGTGCATTCTGGCATTGCAGCCAGGGGGGCGCTCTTCACAGGTGCTGTTCATAAATAATTAACTACATTAACAATATTAATGTGAACCTTCGGAAGGGCGATGACAATTCCCACAATCTACTGCCCACTAAGTATTTGTATAAGAAATCCCACGTCTCCTTGATTTATTTCTTATTTTAACTCAAATCAGGCAAGTGATGATCCCACCGATGAACCGCTGCAGCCGCTGACCAAGCCGTTCCTGAACGGAGCAGGTGGTGTTACTG